AGGAGAGAGAGAGATGGAAGGAGGAGGAAAAGAGAGAGAGAGAATGGAGGAGGGAGGAAAGAGAGAGAGAGATGAAGGGGGAGGAAAAGAGAGAGAGAGATGGAAGGAGGGAGGAAAAGAGAAATAGAGAGAGGAAACCGCGAGGGAGAGAGAGAGAGAGAGAGGAGCAAGATGGATAACGTGAGAATTCCATTTGTCTTAATAACGATCTGGAGATTTTTAGAGGAAGTGCGAGTCAGACGCGTCGCATGAAACTAAATGATCACACGCCGTCGACTTCATACATTTCTCCGGAGGGCAAAAATGGCGGGAATCTTTATCCCGACGCGTTTAGCTAAATTGCCGCTCCGTCCGGGCAGGAGCGGGACGGTTCGGCGCAGGGAGGAGGGAGGGGGGGGGGAGGAGGAGGGAACGCTCCGGCCGCTGACTCGAAGAAATAAACTGCCATTTAGATGCAATTAGATTCCCGGCGGGACCGAATAACCTTCCTTTTCTTGCAGGATAACAAAGGCCCGGGATGGAGACGCCGAATGGCCGCCGAGAGAAAGGGCCTTTGGCAATGGGTATGATATATTCCCGAACGTCCTCCTGCAGCTCCAAAAGAGTGTGTAATCAGCAAAGTATGGGCGGGGGCGCAAGCCTCAAACGGTCCTGCTGAAAGGAGAGGGAACCCGAGGACGTCAGCAGTCAGCGGGGATTCCTTTCCTGCTGAGAGCGCGGCGGTCGGGGGGGAAGGGGGGGAGACTTCGTAAATCCCGCCAACGAAAGAGAAAAATACGACAAAAGATCTCTGGCCCGCCCATTGTTCGTCCGCATAAATAATTCCGGACAATATGCAGGCTTCCTCGGCTCCCGGTCTATACTACATGCCGCCGCCCTGCTGGTTATTGCCCCGGACCGAAGTGACGCAAGAGCCCAGTGCTTATGTTTACAGCAACCGGGGAAACTTCCTCCTCCGGTCAGGAGACTTTGCCCACGACGCCCGCAACTTGGACCGAAAGAAGCTGGGATGTTTGGAGAGAAATACATCGTTTGCTTGGAATGTGTGAAGGACGAGGCGCAGCGACGTTATTTGCAAATGAGAATCTTATTTCACTGCTAGTTTGTGCTTCTTGTTTGTTCGTCGCGTCGAGTTTTTTTCACGGAGCTCAATTGCGCCTCAATAGAAATGAATCCGACGCAAAAAAAAATTGAAAAGCAATGATATTCTATTTTAAAAAACGATGATTTTGATAAATAAATTAAATAAAACTTCCCTTATCCTTCTGTTCTCGTTGGAAAGTGTCTCGACCACCGAATTTGCGATAAGAATGCGATAAGAATTTACAAAACGTGAGATAAGAAGCAGGGAAAACTCACGAGCCTAAAGCAGGGAAAATTTCGTCTCTTTTCCCCTTAATTCGGGATTACCACAAAGGAAAGAAAGTCATAAAAAGGCAATGATGATAACCCCCCAAAAGAAGATTGACAGAGGCGCTAAAAAGACGAGACAGGGCTAAAAATGGATGCATGTTGGACGGCGGGAGAGGAGGAAACATATATGAAAATTGACAAAGGCGGGAAACGAAAGAGACAGAATAAAAAAAAGTAGATGGGGGAAGGGAGATGAGATTGAGAGAGAGTGAGAAAAAGGAAAGACAGAGAGGGGAGAGACAGAAAGACAGCGAGACGGGGAGAGACAGAAAGACAGAGGAAAAGAGACAGAGAGACAGTGGGGAGAGACAGAAAAACAGAGAGAGGGGGAGAGACAGAAAGACAGCGAGAGGGGGAGAGACAGAAAGACAGAGAGAGAAAAAAAAATAGAGGAAACAGATATGCAAATTACCTCAACTGAGGAGGGGAGTTGATCCAAGACGAACGCAGGAGATGAAGAAGACGTAGAAGAGAGAAAGCAAACCCCGAGTCCGCCTTAAGGAGAAAGGGACAGAGCAAGGACGAACAGAATAACAAAGGCGACACGTGAGGAAGGCCAGTGCAAATGGCGCCAACGAAGCGGAAGACCTTGAGTAAGTCAGGTGCAATGGCGGCCATCTTTGGAAAGTGTGAGGTGAGCAAAGGATAATAAAAGCGTTTATGAAGCGTGAGGGCTGGCGATGGAGGGAAGAAGCGTGGCCGAGGAGGAAGAATAGACCAGGAAGGATAAGAAATGAGGGAAAATGGGCGGCGTGGGTTGACTTTCGTGCTTGAATGAGTCTTCAAGGGAAAGGCGGTTTTATGAATGGGAAGGAGAGAGAAATAGAGGATAAGTAATGCGATGATAATGAGACTAGAAATAATAAAAGAAAAAAAAAGCGAAAGAGGGAAGGAGAGAGAAATAGATGAGAAGCAATACGATGATAACGAGACTAGAAATAATAGTGAGAAAAAAAGCGAAAGAGGGAATAAGAGAGAAATAGATGAGAAGCAATACGATGATACCGATACTAAAAATTATAATAAGAATAACGACACTAAAAATGATAACAAGAATAATAAAAAAAGACAGAACATAAAAAAAATATATCACAAAAATCACACAATTATAAATTTAATCCCGGGCATATCAAGTATATTAGTAACGGCGATGTGTTCACCGATGCGGTTGCCATGGAGACGAAAAATCTCATTAGAATTATCTGATGTGCTTGGCGGCCGGTGTTTGTTTATAAGATTGGGCAATTTAGCGGGCGGAATGATGAGAACGGGAGGGAGAGGTGAAGGGGAAAAGGAGAGGAGTTTGAAGCCGCGAAGGGTGACAGCTGAGACGAGGCCTGACACGGTTTATATATATATATATATATATATATATATATATATATTATATATTATATATATATATATATATATATATAATTATTTTTCTTTCTTTTCTTTTCTTTTTCTTTCTTTCTTTCTTTCTTTCTTCTTTCTTTCTTTCTTTCTTTCTTCTTTCTTTCTTTCTTTCTTTCTTTCTTTCTTTCTTTCTTTCTTTCTTTCTTTCTTTCTTCTTTCTTTTTCTTCTTTCTTTCTTTTTGTTTTTTATTTATTTTTATTGATATTTTTTTTCCTTTGTTTTGTTTTTCTTTTTCTTTTCCTTTTGGCTTTTTCTTTCCTTTTTTCTTTTTTTTCCTTTTTACATTTTCTTTCTTTTCTTTTATTCGTCTTTTTTCTTTTTTTTCTTTCCTTTTTTCCTTTCTTTCTTTCTTTTTTTTTTTATTTTTCTTTTTTTCTTTTCTTTTCCTTCTTTTTCTTTCTTTCTTTTTCTTCTTTCTATCTTTTTCTTTCTTTCTTTCTTTCTTTTTTTTCTTTTTTCTTCTTTTCTTTTCTTCTTTCTTTCCTACCTTTTTCTTTTTCTTTCATTTTCCTTCCTTTTTTCTTTCTTTCTTTTTCCTTCTTCGTTTTTTTTTTCGACTTTCGGAGCCTGATTTCCGCGCCCGAAAGGAAACAATTATTAATGCGTTATGGAGCGAAAAGTTTGATCTGATGGCGGAACTTCGTCTTAAAATGCACAGGTTGTTTGTCATTGGATTTTCTCTCTTTCTCTCTCGCTCGCTCGCTCGGTCTCGTTCTCTTGGCTCTTTTTCTCTTTTTTTCTTTCTCTTTCTCTTTCTCGGTCGCTCGCTCTCTCTCTCGTTATCGCTCTCTTGCTCTTTTTTTCTCTTTCTCTCTCTCTCTCTTTTTTTCTCTCTCTATCTCTCGCTCTCTCTCCTTCTTTCGCTTTCCCTTCCCTCCCTTACCCCTCCCCCCTCCCTCCCCTCCCCTCCTCTCTTTTCACCACCCTTTTGAACAATATAAAAAAAAACATCAAATAAAGAAAGAAAAATACCCCCATCCCACCCCCTCCAAAAAAAAAAAATCATTAAAAAAAAAAAAGATTGAGGAAGAACGAGTTTCATCAAGCCTCATTCAAATATATTCGCGGAGCCTGCAGCGGTTTTTTTTTTTTTTTTTTTTTTTTTTGCAAGGGGGTGAGAAATTGGCCCCATTAGAGTAACGTCGACGAGGAACGCGATTTGACGTCGGAATTCCATCGGCCTGTTGACCTTCCGCCGAGCCAACGCCGCCGCCATGCTGCTGCTGCTGCTGCTGCTGCTCCGGTGGACGTCGGGGCGTGTTTTGGGAGAGGGGGGTAAAGGGGAAGAGGGAAGGGGAGAGAAAGAGGGGGAAAGGGGAAGAGGGAGAGAGAGATGGAGGAAAGGGAAGAGGGGAGAGAAAGAGGGATGGAGGAGGAATAAGGGGAGGAAGAGAGAGAAAGAGAAAGAGGGGAGAAGGAGAAGAAGGGAGGAAGAGGGAGAGAGAAAGAGGGGATAATGAAAAGGGAGGAAGAGAGAAAGAGAGGGAGAGGGTGGGAGGAGGAAGAGAGAAAGATGGAGGAGGAGAAGAAAGGGGATAAGAGGGAGAAGGAGAAGAAGGGGAGGAAGAGAGAAAGAGAGGTGGGGAGGATGTGAAGGGAAGGAGAGAGAGAGAGAGAGAGAGAGATAAGAGGAGGAGGATGAAGTGGGAGAGGGGAGATAGTGAGATAGAGAAATGGAAGGGGAAAGGGAAGAGCAAAAGGAAAAAGGAGATGGATAGAAAGGTGGAATGGAGAGAGTTAGAGAGAGAGGATGAAGATGAGAGAAAGGGAGAACGGGCGGGGAGAAAGAGAGGTGTGAGGACGAAGAGAGGAAAATATAACGGGAAGCATCAGAGTCCGATTAGGATTTGCGAAGAGGAAGGTAACAGAGAGAAAGTGGGAAGAGAAAGAGAGCAAGAAAGAGAAACGAAAGATAAAGAGAGAAATGAGAGGTAAAGAGACACACAGAAAGAAACATAACCTAAAGAGGCGGAATAAAGGAGAATAACAAAAAAAAGAGAGAGAATCGTTACATGAAATACGAACTGTAGACAAGGCCTCTCCATCGCCGCACACTCTGGATCCACGCTTGCCATAAATCATGATTCCTCAATTAACAAACGCAATATATTATCAGCTGGTGCCATTTACTGAACCGTCTCTCTATACATATGCATAATAAGCCTCCAACTGATTCATTTCTCTTTGC